CATACTAATTTGATCATCAGAGGCGGAACTCCACCCAACCGGAGTCTCCGTGGTTTTGCAGGTACAGACGGTCGGCATCCAATCTTGGAATTGTAACTCTCCCGAGGGATTTCAAAAAACCCGAAACACTATGAATTAGTTAAATCCTTTAATAACTAGTCTTTGCTTGATTTAGAAAACACTTTTCTTCCTTGTCCATTTTGCTTACAATGGGTCTTACCCAATTTGGCAAATTAATCAAGTGTCATACACTTGGTTACAAACTTAGAATCTATTTCAGATTTCCATGGTTTTTAAACCACTTGGAGTTATAACTTGTCAAATCATCTTTATTACTTGCATAATCATTATGTTCCAAAATAAATATTTTAGAACTCTTAGTCAATATGAAATCATATTTCTTTGGCTAAGTTTTAGATATGCTAGTCATCATTGTAGGTCTTTATGCAACAATTGAAACTTATACAACAACTTTGTTTAGTTTTCAATGAGAAACGACAATAAAGGGTGTGCACTTGGAATGTACTACCTTTGACACATGGTTATTATTCTCATTACACTTAATGAGACCACATGTTGTCATTTATAACATAAGGTGAATCATGCTCATATTGTTGCTTTTATTCGATTACTTCTCAAATTTCTTCAAGATTCTCGAACTAACTTTTCTCGAACTCCTTCGAAACTCTCGAACTCTTTCGAGATTCATATACTCCCACTTGCCTTTTGAAGAGTCACATTAGCATGAGGTGAGCCATTCATGGTTTGAACCATGTTTGTTTGTTTCTTTTCTCGAAACTCTTTCGAGATTTACACTACTCCCATTGACCTTTTGGAAATGACATCTTTTCCAGAAGGGCATCTAATTGAGCAACAAACATTTTGTGCTAAGTATGACTTGTGTAGTAGTACCTCGTGCTCTGTATAGGAATCGAACGTGTTTTAAAACGATTTAATACAACTTTTATTCCTTGCTTTGTAGAAAGACTTTATAAGAACTTTTCTTATCCATATCACATATGAAGCCTTTGCTACATTTTGATTTGACGTATGTATCCTTGTTTAGTATTGTACCTCATCTTAAGAGTATATCCCTTGAATAATGGTTGGAAGATAGGGTATTTCATCCATTATCAAAATATATCTCATATAGATTGATAGCTCCTTTGACAAACACTTCACAAGGTTTTCCTTCGGAGTTTGTTGTAAAACGATTTCACAACTCTTGGATGTTTATCAAGGTCTTGGCTTAAATTCTCAATATTACGATCATATCACAATACTTTGAATATCTTGCCAAGTAGATGTCTTGACTCAAACTTTCACCATTACAATCATATTGTAATGTATTTATTATTTTGTCAAGTTGATTCTGAACTTCATACTGGACTTTTGAACTTTTCAAAACTTTCACTATTATGTTTCAACTAAGCACAAGTGATCGTATCACAAATGAAGTTTCTTTGTCCGTCTCTAGCCTTTGAACCTTAGGTTTTCTTACATTGATATGTATTGAACCTCGAGTTCAGATTATCATTTCTCTAAACGATATCTTGTAAGTTTCAAATTAGAATGAAAAAGAACAAGAGGTCACTTAACTTAAGTGACGTGTTGAAAGGTGTTAATGTGGAGAAATTAATTAGTGTTGATCAAGATTTGTATAATATAAGTCAAAAGAATTATACAAATCTTTCTAAGTTTACTAATGATCAACTTATTGCATTACTTGGTAAATTGGATCATAAGATTGATTCTGTGAAGCGTAGAATTGATGTGATCAAGAATGCTAGCAATAATGATGGTTTTGATGCTGAACAACAAGAAATTGAAGTATTGAGTGATGATCATGGATTTCTGTTGTCTGATTTGGATCTTGATCTTGATTACGATGCGATGTTTGAAGATCTGAAGGGACTAATAGCACCTAATTATGAAGGTATCTACAATATGGATATGATGGGTGTTACTCCTGACTACACCGAAATCAATCAAGGTTCAAGATTTACTGATAATTATACTCTGCAATGTGCTCCGATGATGGGTACTACTAGTAACAACACTGATAATAATCAAGGATCGAGATTTGCTGATAATTATCTTCTGGAATGCATTCCAATGATTGTTTACTACTCCTAGTAGCAACACAGATAATAATCAAGGGTCGAGATTTGCTGATAATTATCCTCTGCGTTCCGATGATGGGGTACTACTTCGACTAGCTACACTGATAACAATCAAGGGTTTGATAATAATTATCCACTGCAACGCAATTCGATGATGGATCATTCTATCTACAACGGTGATTTAGGGCAACAATTTGCTGATAATTATCCTCTGCAGCAATGCAATCAGATGATGGATTGTGCAATCTACAACAGTGATTTAGGGCCGCGATTTGCTGATAATTATCCTCTGCAACGCGGCTATCCTATGATGGGTCTTTACAACTGTAATGAAGAGTTGGGGTTTGTTGATAACTTGGTGTTACAATGCAATCCTATGTCCTATGATCAAAAGCCGGGATCTGTTGCTAATATGTTGGGGATGCAGTCTGATTTATCCTGCTATACTGTCTGATTTTTTTTCCTTCTGAGGTTCTGCTACTAAAAGTGTTACTGTTTTTTGTAAAAGTCATATTCGAATCTTGATAAAATTGTAATGTGCTGCAATACAGCAATAGTGTCTCTTCAGTTGATAAATGTAATTTACGCGATGCAAAAAATATTATGTTTAGAATTTGAGTTGGAAGGATTTTTGATAATGGAAAATTATAAAATAAACTTTGTTACAAAATTAAATTCAAACCTATGCTATTCTAATTTATGGTCTAGTCTTTGGTAATGCAATTTGGCAACTTTAGCATAATGCATATGAATTACGGAGTATAAAAATATTGATTTTCGAGCAAGTTTTTCACCCTTCAACTTCTTTTCATCGTTATACATTATTTTTATCAACTATCAATCTTAAATCTTTACAAAATGCGTAAAAATTAAAGGAAATTTTGCGAATAACTATCTTTTAAGTATCAACTTTTGCGAACAAATACTTTTTATCTTTAAAGTTTGCGAACAACTACCATAATCTTTGTTTCTGATATGTTATCACTACCACTTGACATAAAACTTTGGATTTATCGTTTGTGGGGCAATTATGGTGGGTTATGTGACATACTGTATTTGATATATGCAAGACTACTTGTTCTGTTTTTACTTTTTGCTCTTTGCATTGTATGCTGCTCTTGGATCTTACTCTCAATAGTCGAGCTAACTTAATGTACTTTCTTACAAATATGATGAATAAAAACAATAGAAATAAAGCAATGTTCTTAAAGTATATAACTAATTCAATCCATACCCAAAAAAATAATAAGAACATGGAATTTCTATCTGCAAATAATTCACAGTAAAACCCACATGAAGCCATGGTAAACAACTAGCCAAAACGCATTACCTAGCAACATATAAACATTGCTAGAGAAATTGTAATTCATTACATATAAATGAACCGAAACTTATTGAAACTGAATATATATATATGTCGTAGAACTTGCATTGTACGTTTAATCAAAATCTATCACCACCTCTCGCATAGTTTCCTAAGGAAATTGAACCAGCGATTCCACCCAAGGTTCATAAACGACCAAAACGGCCAAAAGTAATCACAAGGTATACTGGAAATTTCAAGCCTAGCTTCTTCATTATTTTTGTCACAATAAATCAAGAATTCTTGTAAGCCATGGTTACGCAACACTAATATGATATGCTAAGCTAATGCCATTTATTGCAAGTCAATATAATAGATTGATAGTCGATGCAATAATTAGGTTGAGTAATACTCACTCTTTGTTTAAATTTGGACTTTCACGAAATTTTGAGAAGTTAGTTGAATTTAGTAAAATACAACGTAATAGGTAGTAGGGCACAAGTTTGAGGAGAGAGAAGAAACTGAGGGGTTTTTGTGAGGACCAAAAAATAGAGAGAAATTACTAAAAAAAAGGAAACATTTTATTAATTAAAATACGGCCGAAAAAGTAAAATGTTTCATTTAATTAAACACAGGGAGTAATCTTAAACGAAACTGATTGGATGAAACAAAGAGTAGTTATTAATTTATTATTATAAAATTTTCATGGATTAGAGTTTAATTTATTACTCCCTCTATTTTTGGGTGGGTTAGAAGGGTGCCGCCCTGACGGGGTGGGGTAGGGTAGGGAATTGAAGAGGGTGCTGAGGGTGGGTTGGGGTGGGGTCGACGTCGACGGGGGGGGGGGTTGTGGTTGTGGTGGGGCAGGGGATGGGAAAGGTGTGGTGGGGCTTATTGGGTTAGTTTTAGTTCAATTTTTTTTTTTAATATTATTATTATTCCTTTTTTTACCCAATATATCGGTGACATGCGGATATGGTGAGCCCCAATGCCGTAGATCTTATACGAGTATAAAATCAAAATTTAAGGGTATGTTCAGTTAAATTCAGCTTATTTCATAAATATTTAGATGAGATTTTATCTTTTAATTTGTGTCTAGTTATAATTGTATATTTTTATTATAAATTATTAAAATTTATGTTTGAAAGTACAAAGTAATACAAATTTAATGACATCTCATCATATTTGTTAATAATTTTAATAATGTACAAATTATTAAAATTTTATCAAATTATGTGAATTGAACATAGCCTTATTTAGCTTGATTCGATTTGAGGAATATAATAAGGCGTTACTCTTAATTACATATGAATAAACACTACAAAGAACATCATGTAGGGAAAAACTCAAGGGGGGCTTTTTTTATTTGATTAAGAATATGAAAACCAACAAATACAAGGTAGATATATAGACACTTGCATTTTTTTACAACAAGAACTTAACATAATAATGCCCCTCATAATTCGACATAAATAAATAACCATATTAGAACGAAATAACAGACTAACAAGCAGATTGATCTACGATTCAGATCAATTGCTAATTATGTTGATCGTAGCAGGGAGCTTGTTAATTTAACCAGTGAAGACTCCAACAACCGCATCTTCAGTTGATACGGCCGACTCCACGCCAAATATTGTAGCATACACTGAAGTTCCAGTATTGCTGTCATGAGCCCTAACTACTGGCAAAGCTTTCTTCAATTTATCTTTTTTATGCCCCCAATCAATACAGTCAAAATCGCTTTTACGGCCACACTTGGCGTAAATCTGTCCCATTTATACAAAATAGATACATACATACATGTTAGGCTATGTTCAATTCAACTCATCAATTAATTTTAAATCTCGTAATTTGGTCAATCTAATTTATTAATTTGACTAACCTTTGACTTTATTGAATTTGTACAATACACTAACCTTAAGGAATAAAAAATAATCCACCAAAAAAATTAAGTTGCTTGCAGTCCCAAGATTGGTTTATATACTCTATCAATAACTTTAGAGGAATATGAACGTTTTGGTTTCTAACATTTTGTAATGATTATTGTGAACTTACCTTCCTTCCCTTGGTCTTAGAGTCAGCCCAAGCAAGAAGCCATCCACATTCAACACCAGCACTGTTTTCGCCGGTATACACCACTGCCGCCTTAATGCCCTTATACCATACGCAACCTTGCGCAAAGAGGCCAATTCTATCTAGAGGATCTGGATATTTTTTGACAATGATCCCCGCCCATAGCTTCGAATCATGAACGGTTAAGGTTCCATTTGTCTGATTCTTTAAGGTGCCTCCTAACGCGATCACTGGTGATATGCCGCTTACCGCAGTCGTGTTTTGTTCTTCATTTTCAGCAATCATGGCACGACACTTGTTTACTGTTTCCTCGGAGAGACACGAGTTCTTCGCGTCCTTGATCATTTCATCTAAAACCGCTTTCTCTTGGCTGCTCAATTCGACACTCACTTCCTCCTCGGGCTGGGTTCTTGTTGATGCCATTTTTTCTTGTAAGTCATTTCCTCCCCCTCCACCTGCTCTTGTACTCTTTCAAAATTCTCCAACATAGTTTCATAAAAGTGTGATAGCAAATCATCAGCATTAGGTTCATTAATAACAAAAGCCTCCTCAGATTGTGGGACATCACTACTTTTGGGTTTGGCATTCAATGTTTTTGTGAGATTTCTAGCAGCAATGACACATTCAGAGGGTTCAATATCAGATCCAACATACACTGTAATCACCTTATTGCTTCCTAACCTCTCTAACATGGACATTAGGTCACTGTCACTTGAAATTTTAACATGTTTTTGCTTAAAGAGATAGTGAAAACTTGGATATTTAGGCAACATATAACCTTTTTTCCTGAATTCCACTTCATATTCAACAATCAAATCAATCCACATCACTTTATCAACATCATCAACATTAATTTCAATCACATTTTCAGCAGTCTGGAATTTGAACAAAATCGAATCCATTCTGCATAACCGAACACATAAATATATGAATACATAAGTCTGTGTGCAAGTAATTCAATGAAATAAAAAAACCGAAATCAAACTACACCACACAAATCAGAATGTCGAAAAAACAGAGTACCTATTCAATCTACTATGAATAAATCAACAAAATCCAAAATTTATAGTAAAAAGCATTACAATATTACCTGAAAGATGTCGAGTAGGGTATTCTTCAGTCCAAAACCCCCAATTCGCATGAATCCCCAAATTAAAACCCTAATTTCGATTTTTACAAACTATTCAAAATCATTCAGAAAACAGTGAATGAGCAAATGTTGGTGAAATTAAATCCCCAAATTAATGTTCTTGCAATTTGAGTGAAATTGATAGATATTGGTGTGCAAAAATTGAATGCCCAAAATTTTTCTTCGAAAATACGCTGATGAAGTGATGATCACTGGTATGTATATGGCGGTTGGATGTCAACAGTAAAGAGAAAGAGGGGAGTGAAATAATTAAAAGGGGTAGGTTAGTCATTTCACTGTTTAGAGTTAAAAAGTTAGCCATGTTAGTCTATTTAGCCTAATTTAATTTAATTTATGACACTAAATAGAGTTCAAAAAAAGTTTAGTGCCACTATAGATAATGTCAAATTTTTTTTTTCTACCAAATAGAATTTGCAAAAGTTGATGGCCACCACATAGAATTTCCCTTATGTTTTTTAAAAGGCCCTTTAAAATCCCAGTCCAACCCTTTGATAAATTGACCCTTTTCGAGCTCGACCCATTTAATTATTGGACGGGCCTAGCCTATTTATAAAATGGCTGGACAAGGGCTTTTAATGGAGGCGTAGTCCATTAAACAGCTCTACCCATAAGATAAAACAGCTAGAGAAGGGTTTCATGATCATCTTTTTCCTGTCTTCAATTTCTTTAACTCGTACTGTTCACCTCTAAACCTCTAACATTTTCGGCGCTATTCTAATTTATTCCTAACAACAATCCAAGTAGTACATTCACTTTTTGAAGATGGATCAAACAGAGGTATTCCATAATTTCCTCCATTGAAGCTTAAGTTTATAATTCTTACTGTATATATATATATATTTTTTTTTTTTTTGGGAAAATTTTGTTCCTGAATTGTGGTATCTGAATGAATTTATAGGTAGCAACAGAGTGTGTAAAGGAAGTTGAATTCGGCGTAATGACAGACGAAGAAGTTAAGAAGCTCAGCGTTCTCAACATTACAAACCGCAACTTGTTTGACAATGTGGGCCGCCCTATGCCTGGTGGTCTCTATGATCCTCTTTTGGGTCCCATGAATGAATATACTCCGTAAGTTACTTTCTTTTTTTTTTAGTCAAAATCAAAAGTTAATTTTTTTATTACATGAAAAATTAAATATTCTAGTTCCAACAAATCTAAACTACGGAGTATTATACTGTTTTGATTAATTCTTTGAATTCTAACAATTAATTCTTCAACTTTAGATTATTAATAATAATGTAGATTCTTTAATTTTAGATTACTATATAAAAGCCTTCATCTTTAGACTATTTTGTTATCACTGTTGAATTAAATCTTCCAATTACCAACCGGTAATATAAAAGCCTTCATCTTTAGTCAAACAGCGGTTTCAGTAGAGACGATCCAGACCCAGAATGTTGTAGGTGGACCCAGATCCGACCCATACGCACAGGTTCTAAAAAATCAGACCCAAACCAGATAAAAACGGATTCAAAATGGGTCTAAATTTTGATTTATATTAATTTTTTATAAATATCTTATATTATTTATATACTGTTTCGGGTTCAATGTGAACCACGGATGGGTCACTTTCGTTGTGGGCCGAAGACGAGACTTGATCCAATGAGCTGAACCAAGAGTTTCCTGCACACAAGCACACGTAAACTGGCCTCGGGGGGTTGCCGAGGAACGCCCCTCCGATGCTTAAGTCAGTGTATTTCTCAATAAGTGTTAGAGAGAATATTGAATGCAGGAGTTTATGCTTGAGGCATTAATTGTGAATGAGGTGAATAGTAGGGCATTGAAGCCTTTTATACCTGATTTCTAATTTTTTTTTTTTTTTTTAATTGTTACAGCTGCAAAACGTGTGGTCTTCGTGACCATCATTGCCCAGGACATTGTGGTGATATAGATCTTGTGGCACCGGTCTACCACCCTTTGTTGTTCGATAGGCTTGTACGTGTACTACAGAACACCTGTTTGGCTTGTTACCATTTCAAGGCATCTCGAGAGGAGGTATACTTGTTAGAGCATCATTATTGGTGAACACAAAAAAATGGTTCATGGGTCACTATCACCATTTCTCTCTCATCCACATCAACCCAACAAACCATTTACAATATTCACTCTTAACAATGAACACTAAACAATGGTTCATCATCAATACTCCCTACCCCACCTTATTTTATTTTTGTAAATATAATCTTTTTTGTTTCATAATTATAATTTATTAACCCGATGTCAATGTAATCAATTAACGTATTTAATATTTTAATCATGATTACTAATTAAGAAATTATCGCATTTTTTTATCAGCTTTTTAAAAAACTAATTCTTGTGATTAATATTTTTTAAACAACAACGCAGCTAATTTTAATTAACAAAAAAAAAAAAAGAGGTACAAATCGTGATTACAGTTCTACAACTATAATCTAGTACATTTTATTTAAAAAAAAAAACAACTACACATCGTTTTGTAAGATGTCCTTAGGGATAACCATTTGTTGTAAACCTAGTTGCCTAAGTTTTCGTTGTTACCAAATTTATTCCATATATGTTCGACCAAGTCGTTTTTTAGCTGCAAATGAGTCTGTTGATCCTCAATCTCTGTTCTACGAGACAAGTATAAGCCGATATCCACAATACGATCAGTACGGTACTCGGTAGTGTCCTCATTAGCGTTGCCTCCAGCATTCATAAACTCATTGGTATTAACGTTATTTTGATACGTCTCTCGTTCATCTTCAACGATCATATTATGTATTATGATGCAGGCGAGCATGATATTGTGGAGTATGTCGGTATCCCACGCCAAAGACGGCTTTTTAATAATGGCAAAACGAGCTTGAAGGACCCCAAATGCGCGTTCAACGTCTTTCCTTGCAGCTTCCTGGTGTTTTGCGAATAAACGATCCTGACGAGTTTGTGGACTCGTAATGGATTTCACAAAAGAAGCCCATCTAGGGTAGATTCCATCAGTAAGATAATACCCATTCGTATAATGATGACCATTGACTACGAAGTTCACAGGAGGTGTTCGACCCTCTAAGATGTCTTCGAACACAGGGGATCGATGAAGCACATTAATATCGTTGCAGCTACCTGGCATCCCAAAGAACGAATGTCATATCCATAGATCTCTGTCCGCAACTGCCTCCAGTACGAGAGTTGCAACTCCTTCTCTTCCTTGATACTGCCCCTTCCATGCGTGTGGACAGTTCTTCCACTCCCAGTGCATACAATCAATGCTGCCTATCATGCCAGGAAATCCACGTTCTTCCCCAATACGTCATTGTATAACCGTGCATGACCTTCTTCGCGTCCCCTATCCTTTCGGGGCTCAGTAGATTTGCGTCGGCGTTGCTGAGTGGCAGCTTGAATAATTGGTGGAATGTACTCATGCATTACGTGTTGTATCATAAGACACACTTCATTACGTTGTTGAACTCTAAGCTCCCTTCCCTCATCATCCGAGTTAGATGAAGATGAAGAGGAATCGGTTGAGCTTTCGTTTCAACTGTTTGAATTCATTTTGTACGTAAGAAATGTAAGATAGAGTGAGGTTTGCTAATAGTAACTGCAAACGATTTATGTGTTTGTGTGTAAAAAAATGAAAGAATGGTGTTTATTTATAGTGAACTAATTTGTAATTCTTCTTCAGAAATAACTGAATATAAAGAGACAAAGATCACATGGGCTATGACAAACAATGAATTACAACCACACAGAAATTGAATGGAGAAGAAGGGTTTCACATGGGCTATGACCAACACTGGATTAGAACCACACAGAAATTGAATGGAGAAGAAGGGTTTCACATGGGCTAACAAAGGGGAAATTAAGATACTGACACAATTATATATAAAGAGAAAAATTGATATAATTGAATAAACAGAATAAGATCACATGGGCTATGAAAATGGGAAAGTGGAAAAGATCCATTTTACTGATTAATTGATAAAGTACAAACATTAGGAAATGAGTACAAGAGGTTGAACTGGAATTGAAAACTTATCACTACTGAAAATGAAGAACAACAAAGGAATTGAACACACTTAACTACAATAAAAATAAAGGACACTAAGCATCATTATTGAAACGTTGAATATTGTTCCGAAGTATTACTATCATTTCGTCTTCCCACTGTTCTCGGTTTACTTTCTGTTCTAGACGAGATAGTTGCTCCCAGTTGATCCTATATTGCTCTAGCTCAATTTTCCGTTGTTTCCTTGCCTCCTTGCGCTCCTGTATTTCAAGTCTCTTCATTTCTGCTTCGTTTGACACATTCATCGAA